CCCCAAAACAACCCGACACACACAAGACAGCCGCCCCCAAAAAAAAATAAAAAAAAAGCATAATAAAAAAAAAAAAAAAAAAAAAAAAAAAAAAAAAAAAAAAAAAAAAAAAAAAAAAAAAAGAGATGAGATTAGTTTAAGATTTCAAAAAAAATTTTAAATCACAAAACTCTCTTCACACAGACTACAAATATTAGGTACTGTAATCTTTTCGTCTTACAATTATATTCCATCCATGATTATATGTGTGACGCATGTTCTTCAAAAATATAGATTAAAAGAACACTCAAGATTTTAATATTATTCGTCTTCTTATTAAGATGATTCAAATTGTATTAAAATAATGAGTGTTCAATTAATTGTTTTTATTGAAAAGTAAATATTCTTTACGTCACTCATATATTTTAATTATTATATAATTTTTTACGTAGTCTGTGGAAAAACAAATTAAAAATTCAATAAAAATTAAATATATACCTGGTTGTATATGTCCAACTTGTTTGCTTGTCCAAGTTTTTACGAGGTTGGTGTTCGTGTTTGACTGGTGTAAATATGGTTTAACTTGTTCCTGTGTAACTATGAATATTAAAAAAAAAATTCGAATAAATAAATAAATATCGATATGTAATAGTAATACCCGATACAGTTAGTTTAACTATTAATATCACTATTCTACTATCGTTATTATATTATTTATTATACTATACCTGAATAAAGTTGAACGTCTTTTAATGATGATGATGATTTTGGAGTATAAAAGTTAACGGCGCGAGCGATTGAAAGGTCAATTTCATCCACAAATTCAAGAGGTTCCATCACATCAGGATTATTAGTGTACGTAGCTCCAATTACAGTTGCTAATTTATTTCCATGTTTTTCAGCTGCATGTGCTTTATAAGTTTTGACCCATTCGTGATATTTATCATATACTTCAGGTTCTTCATCATCATCTAAATATTGATGCCAAAATTTTATCACTATAATAGCAAATACACCACAATCTGATGCCAAAAGTAGAACGCATGGATCTTGAAGTTGATTATAAGTTTCATTATTCCAATGAAAGTCATATAAATATTTAAATTCAGGTATATAGCTCACAATATTTTCTAAAAATTCATCGATTTTATCGTTATTTGATATATGTTTCCAACAATAACGACTCCAACGATCCATTTTATATAAATATTCCAAGAAAGGTTTATACCATTCTTTACCAATAGTAATTATATGATCAATATTATTATCAATTTCTACAAAGTTCCATTCATAAGAAAATTTAAAAGTAATGGCTGTGTTGTTATTAGAACTATGATATTCTCCATTAGTGTAAGTGAAATATTTTAAGGATTTAAAAATACGAGCAATTTGATCTAAGGCCTGCTTTGAACAAATATCTCCGTGAAATAGTTTTTGTGTTAAAGTTTGAGTTGGTAATTTATTCCTTCTTTCTTGAATTGCTTGAAAAATAATTCTACCTAATTTAAGAACTAAATTTTGCATGTCTCTTTTGTAGTCACTATCCATAACTTGAGAAGTAACACATTCGACACATTTACATTCCATTTTTTAAAAAAACTAACGTATTGATTTTTTGTAAATAAAAAATAATAAAAAAATTTGAATAATTTTTGAATACGTAATATAAATATATTATATATATTTTTTCTTTATCAAAAAATTGAATATCATATCAAAAATTATTATACGTAAAGGATGAAAATTTTTTTTTTTTAAAAGAAACAAAAAAAAAAAAAAAAAAAACTTAATCAATCATTCATCCATCCATCCATCCATTAACGTTAATATTTAATTATTAATTCTTTAACCAATAAGACTACAAACAAAAAAAATCTTTGACGTATATCTCTAGTCGACATTCGAATTAGGAATACGACAGATGGCGTTTTTCGTTACAAAATATTCTATTTAAAGTTAACACTAAAACATAAGTACAGATGTAGCATAAACACAAACTTCTTCTAATATACATATATACTTGATATATCTAATCTTTCGAAAAAATAGTGGTACTTCAACACTCTATTGTAGAAATGGCATTACAATGGGTCCTCTTATGGTATATTACAAAATGCGGTTTTACGACTATCGCTGCGGTCACACGTGCATTTACATAATCTTTTGAAGAAAGTTTTCTTTCTTTCTTTTAAACATATACCAATTTTATATATTTTTATTTTTGTAAATCTTGATCTTTTATTTTTTACGGCATCATCCGGTAGTTTCAAACTAATGAGGTATTATTAATAAAACATGATTCGACCAACGTTGAAGAGTCAAGATTTCTCATGCATAAAAATTTTTTTAATCAAAAAGCGAAATGATTTAAATCTCTCGTATATCCTTATATTAACTTTGCGTAAAACGTATCACTATTAATCAATCTATATATTATGCATCTTAATTGCCTATATGTATTATAACGTTATCATTATTATAATATGATAAATTATGGATTTATTACAAATTTTTTTGGAATCGTGTGATGTATACCAACATTTGTTATGCATGTACTTTATTAGGAATAACGTTTTAACAATGACATCTAGACATATTTATATTGTACTGTTACTGTACATACATACATACATACGTACGTACATACGTACGTACGTAAGTTAGCTGGTAGCAGGTAGTAAAAAAATTTATGGTAGATCGATACGATGAATACGATGAACAAAAATGCTCAAATCTTTTCCTTTATTAAAATGAAATCTTGAAAAGCAATGATTTACGCGTAATTTTCGTTATTTGTCACGTGAACAATCAGTCGATAAATTATATATCGATATATATACTGTAAAATAATACTGTAAAATACTGTAATACTAAATTATATACATATATCTAAGAAAGAGAATATTCAAATTTGGTTGTAAAATATTTTTAAATGCTTGCCCGTGAGAGTATATGTTGTACGTGCGTATGCATAAACGGCTTTGCAATCAAATTCTCGTCCTAGACCGTTTACAACCGTAGGACTTATCTCTTAAGGAAATTTTATAAGCCTTTAAACTCCAAATTCAGAAAAAAAGGATTCGGAACCTATCATTAATGCGTGAGGGAGACTGAACTTACGTATGTACAGTACATAATAGTAACTGATAACTGATAAGCATCTTACTGTACATGTACATATGACAGTACGTACTGTACGTATGTACTGTAACAGGTGTGAATTATATCTTTGCTGTATTAAAAAAAATGAGCCATGCCTTTCTTTTTTTAAAAATTTATACCTCTTTTTAAAATCTTTAGTACGTACATAATTTAATATTCCAATTATATAGAATTTAAAAATGTCAAGTTATTCAACTTATATTTATGAGTGAGCGCTAAATATATAAAGATATAGTGATAATATTTCTGTAAGGATGATAAGTAAAAAACTTTATCGTGTATGCATCTAAAATAGTAATACATACATAAACTATATAGAAAAATGAATCTTATCTAATCAGTGAATTTAAGTTGTGCGTGCGTACATAACAGATAATTGCAAACGTGTTTCTTATATTTACGTACGTCGGATATTATTGAACAAAATTGTATAAAGGATAAAGTGTCAAGTATTACGTATTACGTATTACGTATTACGTATACAATTATACGATCTCTGTTTTAACATAACAGATAACCATCGACAGTAAATCATTTAATGCATTTATTAAATCACTTAACAGTTAATACAGTTAATACAGTTAATACAGTTAATACTTAATGTTAAATGTTTAAATACTTAACGTTATTGTACGTGTTACAAATTAATATAATTTTATTACGTACCAATACCAATACGTACCAGTATTTATTTTATTTTATTAATCATATATATTTATTCATTTTATTAATCTTCATCTTTTTTTACAATTTGAAAAACTTCAATTTCATCCATAGAAAATTTGGTTCTATCCAAAATCGCGTACATATAGTCTCTCTTTTGACAACTATTTTTAAAAATATATAAATCCCCATTTCCAAATCCAATAAATTGACTATCATCATCAGATATTGCAAAATGATGTGCTACTACTCTACTTAATGTTGTAATTTGTGATTGTGAATCACTACATAATGAAAATATAAAACTTTCGGTTGATGAACTAAATTTATTTGTTCCAGACCAACTTTTTGGATTATATCCTCCCATAACTATTTGTCCTGTTCTTGTTTGTCCATTAAATGATGATGTTGTTGCTGATGGTGTTGCTGTAGATTGAATCTCCGTTTGAATTAAAATTACTGTTGCTCCTTGATTAAAACATCTTTTTCGAAAATCTTCTACAAAAAATCCATCTCTACTTCCTCTTAATAATAATTTAAAATAATAAGGATTTTCTTTGGGTAAATAATATTCTGGATCTTCTTTACGATCTATCCAACTTGCTATTAATGCTGCTCGTTTGGAATCAATAATTGTTGATTCAAGTATATATTTTGGTACTCTTGCTGGTAATATTGCTGTTTTTGGTATACTTTTTGGTATAATAAAAAATAATTTTAAATTTTCTCGAAGTTCTTTTGGTAAAAGTTTTTTATATTTTCTAACTTTATAATAATATTCTGTACATGTTAATTGATAAAATCTAACATGTTGAACACTTCTACGAAGTATTTTCTCTAATTCTTGATTCTCTTCTTGACTCCAATTGGTTGGTTCTAAATCTTTAATATTTGTTTGTGCAATTCCCCATCTAATTACATTTTCCCAAATTTCTATTTCTTTCATTTGAAGATTATCTTTAGCGATAATAGAAATTAATGCTTCTTCTTGTAATAATCCAAAATCTTTTGATAAAAATAATAATTGTGGATCATCAATAATTAAATTGATACAATGTGTTAAAAGTTTTCCAAATAATGTTCCATTACATGAAACTGTATTAAAAACTTGAACTATATTTTGTCGAAACCAATCCATTGAATTCCATTGATTAATCCCTTCATTTTCATTCTCTTCATTCTCTTCATTCTCTTCATTCCCTTCATTTTCTTCATTCTCTTCATTCTCCTCATTCTCATCATTCTCCATAGGATAATTATTAGAAATTGTTAAACTAGATGTAATATAATCTTGAATATAATCAACTAATTCAATAAGATTTAATTCATCTGAAGCGATGAGTAAATCTAAAAGATTATTTTCTATGATGCTGGTATCTAAATCAATATCACCACTATAAATATATCTAAAAAAAAAAAATTTGTTATAAATAAAATAAAATAATTTTAATAAAATAATTAATTCAAAAATAATTCTTTTTTAAGAAAAATTATTATAAGGGAGAGGGAGGTATTGTGGCAAAGTTAAAATATTTTCGATCATAACACATTGATACCGTGGGAGGTATTATGGCGAATCAAGAATATCTTATCGGAACCGGATGAAATTTCGGACAAAATTTATATCATTCGATTCCTCTCAATGAGAGAAATCGAATGGTATAAATTTCATCCGGTTCTGATCATGGGAACACCAGATATCCTTGATTTGTCACAATACCTCTTTGTGTTTAATATTGTAGATAGAGATAATATGACGAATCGGGGTTATCTCGTGATCCTGTGATCAGAATCGAATAAAATTTACACCATTCAATTCCTCTCGGCGAGTAGAATCGAATGGTATAAATTTCATCCAATTCCGATTATTGAATCCCGAGATAATCCGATTCGCCATAATACCCCCCTCCCCCTTATAATTATCGCTTATATTGTTATATGATACAACTAGTAAACCTATTAAAACTAATAATAAAAACTTACTTTAAAATAATTCTAAAAACATTTGGTGTAATATTTGACTTTTGAAAAGTGATAATATCTCCTTCTTTCTTGGCCCAATTTGTTGATAAAGCTGCTCGAAAATATGGTGATCTAGCTCGTAAGATAACTGAGTGTGCTTTAAATATTTCAACATTTGGTTCTTCTCCCACAGTAATGTGTAAATTAAAATCATCAGCTTCAGTATGAAGACGAGAAATATCTCGTACAACAGTAAATGATAAATCTTGAGGTAAATCTTGAGGATTATTAGTAATCATTTTCTATTATTCCTCTTTTACTTGCTTTTCTTTTAACGGTTTTTTTTTTTTAACTTTTTTATGATAAAATATAAATGTCTTGAAAAATTTTTTAAATAATAATAAAAAAAAAAAAAAATTAAAAAAAGCCGAGCGATTTAAAAATTCATTAAAAATATTATGGTCATTAAATGTTGAACTTGCATAAATGTTTCGTAACACTAAATAATTATGCCAAATAAAGGGATTTTTCGTAAATTTTATTTACGCGGCTTATTTAAAATTGATGTCGTGTGATACGTAAATACGTATTTTGCACATCCCGTTATCATACAGGGAATAATACTTGCTTTGTTTTTTTTTCCTATCATCATAGATTGGCTTATTCGGCTTAGTGTTATTCTTTTTTCTTACTAAAGTTGTTATCATTAATCTGTTTTTTTTATTTATATATATTATAATAATATAAATATTTTACGACTCTGATTAGATTTATCTTAATGAGACGAATGATATCAAATCATTCAAATCAGTGATAAATCGCATGATATAAGTTATTAATTCGTTATAATACCCTATTTTCCTTAATACTTTTAGATTTTTTTAAGGGACAATGTCTGGGAAAGTTGTAAATTTAAAGTCCCGCACAGGCTAGGTTTTTCTGTAATGGTATGTTTCTCAGTATAAGCCTCTTTTTTTTCAGAGGCTTTGTATCTCATCGGGGATTTCATCATTCGTCATGGGTTTCACCTTTTTCAGGGGTGTTATTTTTTCGCTGAGGATTTTGTCTTTCTCAAGAGGCTCCCTTACAATATTTTAGAATATGTCTTTTCTATGTCTACGACCTCATTTAGATTTCTTTTTGAAATAGATGCGATCATAAGTACTTTGAGCTAGAATCCTACTGAACGGAAGATAGTACTATATTAAGTGTCTCAAAGCATTTGTTGATACTGAAAAAGGTCGAAGAGTGAACAATCAAAATAACTATTGCATATGTATAGATCGGTAAGTTGAAGAGATAACGTCGCGTAGTTCTTTGAAATTACTATTTTTTCACAAAGCCATTGTCAGGGCATGGGTAACCTCTGGGGTTATCTAATGTTTAAGGCTACTGGCAATGGTTCCATTGGGGCATAGGTGACCTCTGGGGTTGTCTGATGCTGAAGCCTCCGGGCCAAACCAATGGGTTAAAAAAAAAATATAATAGTGAATTATGACTATTACTGGTTTCAATTTTCGTTAAGAGGTCTTAGCTTTTATCACTTACTGACTCTAACAACTATAATTAGGATTATGAAAGTTAGAGCATTTGAATCATGTGTCTATAGCTATACCTGATTTTAAACAAGTATTAGAGTTTATATATAATAAAAATTATACTGTATTTTATATAAGATTAATAAAAAATAAAAATTGGTGTATATGATATTTTTGTTGGTTTTTTATATTGGTTAAATTAAAATGTTAAAAAAATTTAATTTATTACTGTAATTACTGTATCAATAAAAATTTTAAATATGGTGTATACAAAAAATTAGATATAATATAAAAATTTTTGATTGTTTTTTAAAAATTTACTATATACTGTATTATACTTTATTCTAATCTTTAACTACTATATTAATATTTGTTAAATTTATTTTTGTTTTGTTATTGTTTTAATAATTTATAATTTTTAAATTTTAATTTTTTAATATAATAATAATTACTATATTTCAGTGTTGGCGCTGGACATATGTCCAACTAATTTTTATGTTATTGGACTGGACTGGACATTGGACATAATACTTGGACATATGTCCAGTCCAATATGTCCAATAATTCTAAAAAATATAAAAAATTTCTTTTGATAAAAATGTGGCCTAGCAAAAAAATTCCCTTGAGCGATTTTACTATATATTTCACTAATTTCTAGCCCTAGTATAAATGCTAACCTTAACTTTTTATAAATTTTATCTTCATCACATGATTATGATTTTCTTGGTTTAATACTGTGAAGATTTTTAATTGGCTATTTGTCACATGATTTATATATTACACAATGTCCAATGTCCAATACCTTTTGGTCCAATGGATTGGACTGGACTGGACATGGACTGGACATTGGACATGTCCAATATCCAACCCAACACTGCTATATTTATATATTAGATATTGTACAGTAGTTAGTTAAACAACTATAAAAATTTTAATTTTTTTTTTTTTAAACTTTAACAATTTTGTCATTAACTTTTATTACTTATTTAACCGACTAGTACATACATATTACATATATTTTTATCAATCTAATTAAATAGTTGTTATGATCTCATCTGGCTACCCCAATATGGTGCCTAGATGCAACTGTCTGCACTATTTCACATATGAGATGGATATCCTCAGACACCTCTATCAAGAAGCACTCTAAATTCTGATTTATCTCAGAACCTTAATATTTTTACTAATTCATATATACCCCGCTATATATATTACTATACAATGTTTACCAGTTATAATCCACCCTCATCACTTATCACATTACTTCTAATTTATTTCTTGTATAACTTCCAAATTGGTGTTCTAGAACTGGGTGCTTTTCTTGTTTCCAGTTTGGTATCTCTCGAGATATTACTTCAGATCCTAATCCATATCTCAAGCCAGATGCTGCTACCATTCGAAAACCCATATCTCAAGCCACCTGCTGCCGCCATTAGGAGAGCTGTTTGCATGATTCCAGGTATTTACATTGTACACCACCAAATTAGACTACTACTTCTTTTATAGTACTCCCTCTTGGTATGATATTACAGAAGTCTAGATCCTTAGGACGGGAGTTAAGTACCTCATTTAATTACTGTTACAAGCCAGTAACCCAGGACCCACTCTTTCATCATGCTTCCACGACTCCTATATAGGTTGTACGACATATTACTCACTGGCTGACTTTATTTTCGTATCACTGGAACACTTGCTTCCATGCTTATTGAGGTTTCTTTTAACCAGTTTTTCTTGTTTCCTTGTGCTAGAGGTGTTCCATATTTGGTAAAGCCATTCTCTTACCACAGCCCTTACTATGTTTACCGCTTCTCTCACCACTTCTAGATATACTGCATATAGCCGTTCTCCCAATCAAGATTTCAATACTGCTTTAGAGTTGTTGATACTACCTTGCCAATTGTGGATTCACACACAGCCTTCTGCAATATTACCTTCTGTGGCCCATGTTACACACAGTACCCAATCTTCTCCATGGCTCAGGACTCCTTCCAAGAATTTTTTATCAGCCAAATATGTACTTTACATGGTCTTACTGCCACAGGGTTTTGCATTTAAAAGCTCTTGCAGGTTACAGAGATAATTAATTAAATTAAATACTACCAGCTGTAATTAAACTGTTAACCTTGTCTGTAGAGGGTTAAGCATCTAGACCACTAGACTATGGGACTCTAACCCTAAAAATTTTAATTTTATAAACTTTAAACAAAAATATTTAATAATATTTATTTTTATTTAATAAAGCTTTTGCAAATAGTCAAAATATTCTTTTTGATGATTACTTTTACCAAATTTCATAGCAAACTTTTTTTGGTAAAATAGTAAAAAAAAAGTATATAAACTAAAAAAAACTATAAACTATTTAATATTCATTACTTTTCTTGATGACTAGTATTCAAAAATAAGCTGGCTCATCACGGCTTGCTGTGGCTTACTGCATGATAAATTTGAATTTATTACCAAGCCATATAATATTTTTGAATCTATTATGTAATAAATATGAGATTATCATATAGCTTGGTGATAAATTTGAATTTATCACATTGTTACAATGCTATAGCCTTCTTGTTAACCACATAGCACAGTAACAAGGTCACCCGGTGCAGGGATTCTGCTACTGGAATATACACGGGGTGGATGTTAAGTACAATTAAGTATCCACAAGCAGAAGGCAAGCAGTTCAGTATAAGGATAGTGTATTATAAACCTTTATTTATTATAGAACAAAAGGATAACCTCCTTTAGAGATCCTAAAGAGAGTTATACATTACAAGAGAGAATTACAAAACTAATTCTATATGAGAGAGAGGTAATAGTTTCTAACTAGATACTCATTAAAACCTATCTAAAACCTATTTTTACAAGAAGAGATTTATACTCCCTTTATATATTTTTTACAAAATAGAAG